CGTATGTTGTCTTCTTTACTTATTCGTTTCATTTCAACTGACATTCCTAGTAGGTATATACATATATGGTAAGTAAAGATTGGTTTTTGGTGGGTTTGCGTTTTGTTTAGGTTTTGGATTTTCAAAGTTTGTAGATAGGAAATGCATTATTGTTTATGAATTATTCAAGGTAATCGTTTTGTATTAGTATATTTTTAATATTTTGTTTTTCTTTAGTGAAAGTATTTTGATTTATGCATATTGTTATACACACACTAAGAACAAACCAGTACCAACGGACATACCTAAACGAACTAAATAGCAATATACACCGTGATTGTCGTAGCCCGTGCTTTAGAATTCAATTGGATTGCAGGTGCGGATTAATAGAGATAGCATCTAATCCATCTGCAAGCTAGCTAATGCACGGGCTACGTAAATCACCCTGTATTGTAGGTACAACTACAGTTTATTTTTTCCCAAGATAGATTTTGACATTGTCAACTTTGAAACATAAACAATGCCGCTTATTGGTCGCAAGATGCCATTTGCACGACATGCATTGTATTGTAAAACTCATGTCAATCTGCAGGGACACCTCATTTTGCGACCAATCAGGGCCAAGTGGTATTATTTATGTTTCAAAGTTGATAATCAGGCCTATGATGTATCATTTACTGTTATTTTAACAGCAACGTTAAGTTTTCTGTCACTGTTTATTCTACACGTAAAAATAGAGACAGGTATAGATTTTAAGCTATAACACAACTGTTAAAATAACAGGAGAGGATACATCATAGGCCTGAATGTCAAAATCTATCTTGGAAAAAAATAGATTGTAAACAGGCACAAAACAGCTGCTGTCCAAGAACCGAAGAGGAACAGAAAATTAGCCATTCATGTTTCATATCAACTTCCAATTTATTTTGTATCATGAGAAAACTCTAATTTATAAATCCTATAACTCAAAGTAATTTTCAGGAAGCTTCAAAGACGATTTTACAGGAATTTTATGATTTTCTCAGGTATCAATAAATAAAAAAATTCGAAACTTTAGTTGAAGCCCTAAATACTCCACAAATGTCTAGATGAGTGTGGAACCTAAAAAATTCATTGTAGAGCTAATAGAAAATCTACAAAGGAGTGTCTTGATTATTGTAAGAGCTGCAGAATTTCATATAGAAGCGAGAAACCAACTACATGGTCTTTAGATTATTGTGGCAACCATAGATACTATTCAGAAAATTTGTATCTATAAATAGATTGTTGCGAGATTTTTATAGAAAATCTTCTACACATTATAGCAAACTTTTATGTTGAATAGATTCTATGATACATTTTGTATCTTAAATTCCAACTCCTTAAGCAGTAGATTCTTTGGCAGTAGGTAGCGGATCTAACATGAAGCAAAGGACGCACTCTGTGTCGGGCCTCCAGAGCTGAGGGGCTCCCACACAATCGGATTCTAAAGGCATTGATAAAAAAATTGATAGAAAAAAAACTCATGAATATGAAAAAAATCGAAAATTAAATTTTGAAAGTTACGGCAACGTTGTATACCTATAGGAGAGCCTGCTAAGTTCGACGCGATGCGGCAACCGCGGACGCGCGGCACGCATGTTCTATTTTTTTGATCTTTTTTAAGTGGAGTAAGTGGAGTAAGTAGAAAGTTCCTGAATTTTTTCAAATACTAATTAGTTTCATTCAACTTGTTCTCATATTGTCTAGCATATTTAATTTTGCCGGCGACGTCTGTAGGGGCGAAGAGCGAAAAAATGGCGGACACACATGGTGATTGGTGGGTTGTATCCCGAACCTTGTCAAACTTGTTTTTATGAAGGTAGCGATAATGGATTTGAATCATCTGCAGCCAATCGCTTTATGGATGTACTGTCAAGGAAAGGAATTGACACACCTGTTAATTTTTTGTCCGCATGATTTTCTTCGGCCAATTTATATTTGCCTGGCCCTAATAGCTGTGTGCACCGATCATTTTAAGGAAGCCTTAACGATGAGTATTCTTAAAAATGTCATTTTTACATGGAGAAATGTCATTTTAAGGAATACTTATCGTTAAGGCTTCCATAAAATGGTGGGTGCAAACAGTCATAATGAACTTGTTTTTCAATCAGGCACTAGCTGACGTCACACACATAACCTCACTTTTGAAAGGGGGACCACCAAAGCGTTTAGGGACTAATAAACACATCGGTTAGACGATAGCTATTACGTTACGAATCACATAACGTCACTTTTGGAGGGACAAACATATCATTGACCAAGGTTGATAGGTTACCAGGGTTATCTGGGGTGCCCTATGGAGATTTGCATTATGTTGAGGCACACCGGATGACGTCATGAAGTTATCAAGCAATCTACCTCTCTCAAACAACCTTGATCATTGACGCCCGTCTCCGCCAACTACATATTTTAGAGAAGCCTTAATTATAATTCCTTAAAATGATAGTTTTCTGTCTTTTCCATGGAGAAATGTCAGTTTGAGAAATATTTATTGTTAAGGCTTCCCCAAAATAGTTGATGAAAACGGCCATAAGACGACCAAACGCTTTGTTTGTCTCCCTATCGAAAATGAGGTTATGTGTGTGACGTCAGCTATTGTCTCCAATATTCTATGGTCTCCAACACCACAAGAAAAATACCTAAGAAAAGCATGACAGGGCCCCAAAATATTTATGCGTCGGGCCCCAAAGGTCCTAGATTAAGTTAAGTATAATTTCTTGGCACGGGTCAAACCTTGTCATTACGAAACCCACCATTTCGTGGTTCCGTGTTCCGCCTTATTACTACGTTTTGCCTCGGTTTTGTTGCTTTACAACTGCAAAAAATAATAAAAGGTTCAATCAACTTTCAGCCAGAGAAAGGGTTAGATTGAGAATAAAATAAACATGGAAGAAACAAAAACAAAAAATAAGTGACCCAAACACGGAACCACAGGAGATAAGAACACACAATAGGAAAACATCAAAAGCCATTATGGTGCAAACCATCGAAGAAAATGGCTTCGCAAAGTTAGCCCCCCACATTCGAATTTTCTAACAAAATTGCAACCACTTACTGTGCTCGAAGTGTGCTTTACTATGTGCCGATGATATTTCGAACTGTGCCGTTCCGATACCGAAGTTATAGGAAAAACAAGATGAGGGGCTAACTTGACGCTCAGCCCCCCCAAAATTTTGGAAATCAGATTAAACAAAAATGGATTCTTATGCAATCTGAAGTGTGCTGAACTGTGCTGTATTTTTCTCAAAATTTCCCTATTCGGTCATTTACCGACAAAATCCCACCGGAGGGGCTAACTTGACGCTCAGCCCCCCCGCCAAAATTTTGGAAATCAAATCAAACAAAAATTGATTCTTATGCAATCTGAAGTGTGCTGGACTGTGCTGTATCAGGTTTTTCTCAAAAATTTCTATATTTGATCATTTTCCGACAAAATTTTATTGGGGAGCTAGCTTGACGCTCAGCCCCCCCAAAATTTTGAAAATCGAATCAAATTCCAATTCAATTTGAAGTGTAGACTAGACTTTGATTTTCAAAATTTTGGTAGGGCTGAGCGTCAAGTTATCCCCTCCAGTAGGATTTTGTCGGAAAATGACTGAATATGAAAATTTTGAGAAAAACCTGATACAGCACAGTTCAGCACACTTCTGATTGCATAAGAATCAATTTTTGTTTGATATGATTTCCATTGTTGGAGGGGGAAGGGTGAGCGTCAAGTTAGCCCCCCAGTAAAATTTTGTCAGAAAATGACTAAATATGGAAATTTTGAGAAAAAACTGATACAGCACAGTTCAGCACACTTCAGATTGCATAAGAATCAATTTTTGTTTGATCTGATTTCCAAAATTTTGGGGGGCTGAGGTTCAAGTTTGCCCCTCTAGTAGGCTTTTGTCGGAAAATGACTCAATATGAAAAATTTGAGAAAAACCCGATACAGCGCAGTTCAGCACACTTCAGATTGCATAAAAATCAATTTTTGTTTGATCTGATTTCCAAAGTTTTGGGGGGCTGAGCGTCAAGTTAGCCCCCCAGTAGGATTTTGTCGTAAAATGACCGAATATGAAAATTTTGAGAAAACCTGATACAGCACACTTCAGATTGCATAAAAATCCATTTTTGTTTGATTTGATTTCTAAAATTATGGGGGGGCTGAGCGTCAAGTTAGCCCCTCATCTTGTTTTTCCTATAACTTTGGTATCGGAACGGCACAGTTTAAAATATCATCGGCACAGTAAAGCACACTTCGAGCACAGTAAGTGGTTTAAATTTTGTTAGAAACTTCGAATGTGGGGGGCTAACTTGACGGAGCCGAAGAAAATAAAAGTATGAAAATCATAAGATGAGAAGAAAAACCCTAATTGCAAAAGAAAAATATTCCAGCTCAAAAACAGGAATGGTAATAGAGTAACAGACTGGGATAAACTATTACGGAGTGTAGAAGAGTTCTATACAATATTGTATAGATTTCAGACAAACCAACAGCACCGAAGAGTGAAGACATACCCCCAACATTTTTCAGGAAGAATTACCCCCTCCATAAAATGAAAAATAACAGGGACAGACGAAGTTAGGCCAATTTTGATGAAAAACCCTATTCAATTTGTGCCTGTCCAACCAGGATATACCAACCTTATGGAATAGCTCAATTACTCCATAGAAAAAAAGATAAAATAAGCCTGAAAAATAACAGATCGATTACCCTGCTCAACTAGGTACCTGTACAAGCTATATAGGTAGCAGAATTTAAACAAACAGGCTAGAATCCAAATTCGAACTCTACCAATCAAGACAACAGCTCCAATGTTTAAACCCTCATCGAAAAATCTGTCAAATATAACAGAGCTCTTGTCTGATCTTTGTCGATTCTCCTAAGGCATTCGATAGCAGAAAATAAAAATACAATTTCAAATACTAAAATAATCTATTATAATTATTATCTAAATAGAATGTTCAAAAGAATACATAATCAAAAGCATGAGAAAAACCTATTTATGTCTAAAGTAAAAATTTGTCTAAAAAATTGAAGTCATATAAACATATTCAGCCTCTCAACGGCAAAATACTTCATACAAAAAATATGTATCTTTTCACATAGTAATATATTATGATTTTTTTTTATTGCCTATATAAATACCTCAAGGCAAAATCGTTAATCACAGATTATTTTCTAGGGCTACTCTGTAGTAACCCTGCACACTTAAGCTTGCTTCGCAAAACTCATCAGCTTAAAACTAAATACATCACAGGTAGGTTTAGTTACTATGTAGTAACTAATTAAAACTTTTTTACTCTTCGCCAATTACTATGTAGTAATTGTCAATATACATACTCTAACAAATTATATTTGCTGATTTCTGTACATATCAGCAATAATTTTGACGATAGGAATTTTCCCAACGGCTTTCTGGAAAAACAATTCTTCGATGGCATCGGCTGAAATCGATCTGATTTTATTCAAAAGCAAAAACTCTTTGCTGAATCTCAACGGATCGTGAATCCTTGTTGTAGCCAAGTATTTATTGAGGCTCATTTGAGCATCGTTAGCGACAATTTGAACAGATCTACTTTCAATCAAGTTTCTAGATACTCCAGTGGCACTGACGTTTCCAGCTTTGAACAAAGACATGACACGAAGGAACGAAAACTCGTTGGGATCCAAATGGAACTGTTTAGCATGCACCAAAGTTTCCTGAAACTCTTGCACTCTTTGCACGAAAACTGGCGCGTCGTCTTTTTTAAAAGCATCGCTCGCTTCCATTAAAGAACTTAAATCTAATATTGGTAAAAACTGGACGGCTCCAAGTATAAACAAATCCTTCCAGCCGTCTTCTAGGAGCAAGAGCTGATCGGACATGGGTAGACTGGTAAAATATGGCAAGTTTTTCGTCCATTGTACGTTGAGGAATAAAAGTCGAGCTGCCGATTCGCATATGTCTTCGGGAGGCATCACAGCGGGCGGTGGCGTTATTGGTGGGCTTATAATTGGAGCTGTTTGGAATGCAATTGGTGGAAGCTGGAAGAAAAATAAAAAAATACATTAGTTAAAAATGTAAAATAAGATGAGACGACAGGTATTCATTGAATATTCTTTTTCTAATAATGTAATGCAACGTAATCAAGGTAAGAAAATTCTATTGCGATAAACGTGGAATCTGATACTGATTGTCCTCAATAAACTTGATGGGAGATGTAGTTTTCTCCCTGAACAAAGCTATAAGTACTCTGTTTCCTTTTCGTTAGGAGCACACAGAGAAAGGCAAAAAAGAGTGGGAGGCAATATTGTGAAAATCACAGAATAACAAACAATCACAATGAGAACAGAAAGACATAGGTCCGATGGTCATGGAGGAAGCCACGCCCGTTGGGCAACGGCGAAAAGATGTTCAGTGGTAGAGCGTCACCAGTTCGTTTTATCAGTATTCTTGACATTATTGTCGGCGGAAGAGGGTTTTGCATAATTATTAGCGTTATGAGACCGATAAATAGCATATAACGGCCGTGCTGAGCTTTGTGATCCTAGACGGTAACAGTAAAGGGGCAACACCGGTTCTAGTTCAAAATCGGTCATTTTTACATGTAAATCTCCATAAGAAAATCTAAGGTCCGTTCTGGCAATTTTCGTACCATTTTGGAGTCGGGGTGAACTTTCAATGAATTTCTAGGATTATGCCCCGCCCCCTTTCCAATGCCCGTGTCTTTCATCGGTCGCACTAACTGGTCAGCTACCGCTGCGTTCAGGGTCATTGACCGTACCTCGCTCCAAGCGGCTCATCGAACACACATAGCACCTCGTGACTTGTATACAGACTTGTCTCTAGACAGGTCTGTATACAGCTATATAGCTCTAGAGGCGGGTCTGTATACAGCTAGATAGGCCTGTATAAAGCTATACAGGTTTAGAGACTGGTCTGATACAGCTATTGAACCGTATTACGGGGCCCCAATTTCTGGCGCTTTGTTCTCCGAGCGCCATTTACATAACCTAAAACTCATAACCTGAAAGTTAGCTCTCGCCTCGTGCAACTTGCATCTACAACTAGACAAAGCACGAGGCGGATTTTATTAGCAGTTACGTCATCATCAGTACGAGGCATCTTGAATGAGGTACTAAGTCACGAGTTGCTATGTGTGTTCGATGAGTCGCTCGCAGCCGGATTACAATTTCACTACTCGACACGAGTCGAGAGTCTCGTATAGGCAATATCAATGTTATTTCCGAGTCGCATTCTTCGACTTCGAGCAATTAGAGTCCCCATCCAGGTACGGTCAATAATGACCCTGAACGCAGCGGCATCTCACCAGTTAGTACGACTGTAGGGGGCGGGGCATAATCCTAAAAATTGATTGAAATTTTACCCCCACTCCAAAATGGTACGGAAATTGCGGACCTTAGATTTTCTTACGGAGATTTACATGTAAAAATTACAGATTTTGCGCTAGAATCAGTGTTGCCCCTTTACTGATAGCCGAGGAATATAATCAGCCAAGGCTGTTATTTGCATTTATCGGCCGTGTTTCGTTTTAAATTTTTGTGTATGGAGTTTGGGGGGTCCCAAAGGACCATTGAGATAAAAATCTCAACAAAACAAAATCAAATTTCATCGTTTTAGTACTGAGATGATTTAGATTTTGGAAAACTTTGAAAGGTCATAACTTTTTTTCTCTTATAGATAGAGAGCTAAAATTTTCAGCGATTCTTATCCCAGTAGTGGACTACAATCCCTGAAAACTTCAGCTCATTTTGACTTATAGTTCTAGAAATAAAAGCATGTTAAGCAATTTGGGGTGATCTATCTATAAATATGTTGTCTAATTACGATACTAACCTCATTAGTTTAAAAACTGCACGTTTCAGATGAATGTCTTACTTGAACAGTTTAACAGTATATTGGTGAGTAGATGGCTGCGGAACTCGCTGCGCTCATCCCGCAGAGGTCCACCCATAAGTTCCGCAACAATCCACTTATTTGTACTTGAACAATAACTTATTATATAAAGTTAGAATTTGCAAGATTATCCACTTTTTGTCAATTTGCCTTTTAACAGGAATTTAGTAATGTTACTTCACCAAACTAGTAATATATTGTGACAAGTTATTCAAGTACAAACGAGTGGATTGTTGCGGAACTTATGGGTGGACCTCTGCAGGACGAGCGCAGCGAGTTCCGCAGTCATCTATTCATTAATATGTTGTTCAAGTACGATACTAACCTGACCCACTCAAATGTCAGTTATTCTCATTAGTTCCAAAACTACACGTTTTAGGTGAGTGTCTTACTTGAACAGTTCAACAGAATATTGGTGAGTAGATGGTTCACCTGTAAGTTCCGCAATAATCCACTTATTTGTATGTACCTTATGATTTAGAATTTTGAAAATTTTGAAAGATCATAACTTTTTTTCTATTATAGATAGAGAGCTAAAATTTTCAGCGATTCTTATCCCAGTAGAGGACTACAATCCCTGAAAATTTCAGCTCAGTTGGATTTATAGTTCCAGAAATAAAATCGTGTCAAGCAATTTGTAAATGGATATCATATAAGAAGTTGAAATTGCCACTGTCACTATCACTATCAATTTTTTTTTATGTATGGTATGAATTTGCCGCCCCTGGATCGTGCCGCCTACTTCGCGCGCTTCTTAAGCCGGCCCTGGTTCTTATGAAGTAGAATAGGATTCCTACCTAGTCTTTTTGACTTTGAACTTTGGTGACAGCACGATGGTAAAGTTTGTGGACGAGCTCTGCAGGTCGTTGAAACTCAGTGGCGTAGCAAGGTTGGACGGGACCCCGGTGCAAATAAATTGCAGGTCCCCCCCAGTTAATTCTTTAAAATTTTCAATTTGCTAAAGGAGCGTGCAACAGTAGCAACTGTCATAGGCAAAAATAATAAGAATGCCATATACACTTGAGATAAGTCATTTTCTAATCCAAATTTTCCAAGTATTAATTCAAAATATTGCCTGGCGCTCATAGAGTTGTTGGTTTCAGAGTTCTCAAATCTGTGGTCGTTCGCGAGTTCATCGAAATGCTTTTTATGTGGGACTTGCTTTTTTTCTGGAAATTCTGGAAACACTAGATTAATATTCCACTTTCTTCCTAATTCCACTGCTTCACCTTCAATTTCTTCGTATGAATCTCTTATAGCTTTAATACATTATTTCGAACTTCTTTTAAAACTTTTGCCCCTGTGAGTTTTCGCTAGTTAGTATATTTTTCGTAAACATTTTTGCGCATGGCTTCGGGGCCCCTTAACCACCGGGGCCCCGGGACGCCGCACCGAATGGCCCTACGATAACTACGCCACTGTTGAAACTTTATCAAAGAATTTTTCAAAACTCAGGTGAATATCTGAATTTTAGCCAAGACGTTCAAGGTGCACCTTTGCGGAAGAAAGACATATAGGTAATCTGCTGCAATGGTATGGTTGTATAAATTTGAACTCTCTTACGAAGAGACTTGATCAATGAAGCTATATTAAGGATATGGATAATTCTTCATTGCTAGTCAGAACGATTCAATAAACGAGAGGTCATCTGGCATTTGGGTAACCGATATTGTCGTATCTAGCATAATAGGGCATCTCCTTTCGGTTAATTAAACCCAATAGTCTTCCAAAAGATGTTCATGGGCTTCAGGAAAATCATTGATCACGTTACATTGAAATAACATTCCGTTGCAAGTTGAACAAATTATCGAATTATTAATTCATACGTACAAGGAACCTAAATCTATGGAAGGTCAATGTCAACGACAGTTCACTAGTAATTATTATAATTAGCGATCACGCGCCATGGTCGCTTGATTAATATAAAATAATGGTTTTTGGAAAATGAAGGGGTAGTCTACAGACGGAGAATTATCCGCGTTAGTTAGGTAGTAGTAATAGTGCCTTTTAGTCCTGTAATAATTACTAGTGAATTGTCGTTGACATTGACCTTCCATAGGTTTATGTTCTTTCTACATACGAATTAATAATTCAATAATTCGTTCAACTTGCAACGGAATGTTATTTAAATGTAACGTGATCAATGATTTTCCTGAAGCCCATGAACCTCTTTTGGAAGACGATTGGGTTTAATTAACCGAAGGGAGATATCCTATTATCCTGGCTACGACAATATAAAGGGCTACACTCTAAAACGTCTCGTTACAGATTACTTTCGTAAGATTCCAGATAACATTTGACTCAATCTGGACAGAACTCAGAGAGCGATGGACAAAGGTCTCATTGATTTCAACGATACCTGATCCAGGATTTTGATTAAGCACTTGAGGAAGACCAAGCAGAACGTTAGCAGAATTAAGAGACGATGACTTGATGGGTGGATCCAAACATGAGAGCTTGGAAGTATTTAGAAAAGGCCCACATCCAGAAGTCGATGACTTCAGGTTAAAAGAAGAAGAAGATACTTGAATTGAAATGCGTCTCAACCACTTCCATTGCAAATCATATATCTCAAGTTGCAATGCCAAATGAACTGACGAAAAGTGGAATGGCGTCAGAACAAAATTGACGAGATTTGCACATCAAAGACTGGGATGGGAACCATTAGAAGAGTTCAAAGTCTAGGAATGTACCTTATTGCTATCTAAAAAATAATATAATACTATTCCCAATTTAATTTCCAGTTTTTGATTGGATTAGAATTCTCGAAATTCAATTATGTTGTTATTCCCGGCTCTTGATTGGTCAAATAATATATATATTTTCAGTTTGAATTTTATGTATTTTGAGTCCATTAGAGTTAATTGGGAAGCTTAAAAGTCTTATAGAACCATTCTCAATTTGATTTCCAGTTTTTCATTGGGTTAGTGTCTTACAAATAAAGAAAATTGCTGGAAATTCTCAAAATTCAATTGTGTTGCCATTTCCGGCTCTTCATTGATCAAATAATATATTTCCAATTTGAATTTTATGTATATTGAGTCTATTGCAGTTAATTGAAAAACTCAAAAGTCCTATAAAAGAAAAATTCTACTTACTCTAGGCAAATATCCATAAGTCGTCGGTTGCATGATTGGTAAGTTCGATACGATCGGGTTTTCCAGGTGCGTAGGTGAAGACAACGAGGTTTTCGGTAGAGCCAAATCTAAAACACCACTACCGCCCGGTGACACCATCGGTTGGCTTTCGGAAGGGCTGCCGCCGTACGCCATAACGGCGCGTTGCTGGTGTTCGAAAAAGGAGGACATTGCACGACGGATTGTCGAGTTTCTTGGACCTCTTTCGTGTTGAACAGCTGAAAAGAGAGTAAATAAATTAAATCATAAGGATACAATCAAAACATATTCAAAATCAAAAGAATATATTGTTGCTGTTTCTAATCTATGCTGAAAAATAATTGTACTGGTAAAAAGCCTACATGTACCTAGTACAAACAAAGTTTTTGATAACGTGATCTCTTCTAAAGTAAATCAACTTTTGGTTTCAAATGCGTATAGGTATGAGGAATAATTATCCATTCCAACAACCCTACTCTCATTCTTCTATCACTTCACAATTTGAGGCAAGAAACAATTACTTAAATTATACAATTGTTTCCGATTTTTGTCTCTTTTATTCGCCATTCTTTCGCAAACAGTAGCAAAATAATAAATTAGTCCTACCCAAGGCCCCACTTAAACTTTCCTCAAAAGCAAACACTACCCAACTTAGTTCAAGTGCAAACCGTAATTTTGTTGTTACACCTGGTGGCTGAGAGTGAACGCCTAAAGCACAACACTCGGAACCCCTCCTCATATTGAACAGTTTACAAAAGCAATCGTTGAAATAATATTGTGGAAAAAAAACTGTTTCAGATTTTTAATGAGCTCGTGTTTGATTGGTGATATTTTTGAGCTTCTTATTTTGTCTTGTCCATGGTAGCAATTATTGAAAGTACCCCGAATATGGCATTTGAAATGGTGAAACGGAGGTTGGTGGCAGAATTTGAAAAAAGGAATTTAGGTAAGAGAATTAATGATGGACAGGACAGTACATTTGCTTTCACTACATAACAAAAAGGTACTTGCTATAGAATTTGGTCATTTCAATAAGGACTGTGAAAAGTTAAATAACGATAATAACCAACGATATGGACATTTTTATGCAAATCGAGGTCGAGGAACGAATTTTCGTACAAATAATGGTGGGAGATATAGTAATAATCAGCAAAGACAAATTCGGAAATATGACAATGGAGCAGATCAGAGATATGAAGACAGAGGTAGACGATATGGTCTGAGATATGGTCAGAGAGGTTTATTTCGTGGTTCAGGCATTTAGAACAGTTATGGAAACAAGGGTAGGGGAAAATTTACTAATTTTGTTAATAACGATAGTGAAGAAAACTTCTAAAGCTAATAATCGTAGAGTGAAACATATTGATTTAAAGTTTAATTTTGTGTCTGTAAATTTGAGAAAGGCTCTGATAAACTTAATTTATGTAGATACAAATAATCAGCAAGCTGATATTTTCACAAAAGATTTATCAGGGCCAACATTTCTAAAATTTAAAGATTTATTGGGTTTAAGGGACGTCATTGAAGTATGTAGAATTGTTTAATCCTGTCTTCGTTCTCTGTGAAATAAAAGCTAACTTGAAGAAGTATCCACTCCACTGCATATAGTAATTATAACAAAAAATATAAGAAATACTGGATGAAATTAGAGCAAACCTAATATGATGATGATAAGGTAAGTAAAGACTATCAAACTCTTACCCTCCTTATTCATTCCGGCGTCTTGACACTTCTGCAATCGGCAAGCACGGCATTGGTTCCGGTGTGCCTTGTCGATGGTACAGGAACCTCCTTCTTTGCCTTTGCAAATGTAACGACGGTTACGACGTATGGACCTTTTGAAGAATCCCGCGCAGCCGTCGCAAGCGAAAATGTTGTAGTGTTTGCCCGAAGAGTAGTCTCCGCATACTTTACATGGAATATCCAGTATACGACCTGGAATTTAAATAAGTTATTCTTAATTAAATACTGATGAAATAGTAGCTATTCTGATCGAGAAGGCATGAAATACTCGTTTGTAGCCAACATTCATATATTCTGAGTTTTAAAAATCTATCTTTGTAGCTTAGAATGTTAATGATAACAAATTATTGATTGATTGATTGCTATAAGAGGTTTGTTCAAAAACAAGATTGCACTTAAAGACATTATAGCCAAAAAAAATTCTACCTACTTGTATTACTAATTGTCATTTTTATAAAATCACAAATATTGTACATAGAAACCTAAACTCAATCCTGTAACAGACGCGGATCGTTGCTTACTGACTTTTTGTTTGATTGTGTAAGTACCTACACACTAAATTTACACACACTCACTCCAGATAAAAAGCGCACAGAATGGAAAAATTAAATAAATAATCTCCAAAATAAAAATCAGATAAGTTTTGCATATTGTTTTTGCTCTGATAAATGATAAATTTTGAAGATCATCCATGTATTTTATGGAAGTAATCAATTCAGGAAATAATGGGTATCAGGTTCCAGCAAAAGGGCCATTGAGTGTAAAGGATGTTAATAATTACAGCGGAAGTTGCTCATTTGAGGCTGTGTGGAAATTATAGGGAGTATAAACGAACATTTTATTATTAAGAATTTGAAAGAACCGCCTTAAATTTCAAGCAAATATCATCTTCTGATAATGATCTCTGTAAGTTATATTTTATGTTCTCCGGTATTTAATAATTGTTAACCAGTTTCATCTCGATGTTAAGTTTTTAGTTTTGTCATAATCTTGTCAAATAACTATAAATAGCTGTAATAGATGAAGCACAAGGGAGTAGAGATAATATTTCCGATAGTCAATGAAGAGGTGCAGCCCATTCCATGAAGAAAATTCTGTCACGAACTAGGTTTAATTGTACGTGTACATTCCTGCGAGACAACAATGATAGCATTTTTCAAGGATTGGGTTGTTTAAAAAATTATGAATACAATATTGATTTCATAGAAAATCCAAAATTTGAAATAAGGCCTGCAAGAAAATACCCTTTGCCATACGGGATGAAGTGAAAAAAGAATTGGAAAATATGGTCAAGTTAGGTGACATTAAACCCGTCACAGAACCTACTCCTGCAGTCAGTCCGTTAGTAACTGTTAGGCAAAAAGGTAAATCAAGAATCTGCATAGATCCTACAGATGTTAACAAAAACATTTTAAGAAGACTGTTGAAGAAATTTCAGCACAAATACGTGGAGCCAAATATTTTACACTTTTAGATTGCAAACGAGGGTTTTAGCAAATAAAAGTTGCAGAGCAGTCTCAAAAATATCTCACGTTTTCAACACCATGGGGGCGTTATAGTTGCACTCGTCTACCATTTGGAATCTGTTCGGCACCAGAGGTATTTCAAGAAATAATGAGTTCCTTGTTAAAAAACATTCCAAACGCTCACTGTTCAATAGACGATATTCCTATTTATTCGGACTGCCAGGAAAGTGTAGAAAAAATTACTAAAAAAATAATGGAAACATTGAAAAATTCTGGATTGAAACTCAATAAGGAAAAATGCATTTTCAATGTTGAAAGGGTTAAGTTTCTTGGGCATATTTTATTGGAAAATGGCCTTAAAATTGATGATTCCAAGGTGGAAGCTATCAAAAACTTAAAGACACCAACAAATATAACAGAATTACAAAGGATGCTAGGCATGATAACATATTTGAATAAATTCATACCAAATATGTCTGAGATTACAGATCCTTTGCGAAAGCTTGTAAAAAGGGATGTTCAATTTATTTGGGAAATAGAACAACACGAAGCAATCAACAAAATAAAGGTACCAGTGCACCTGTTCTGAAATTTTATGATGTACAAGGATGTTACATTATCAGTAGATGCTAGTTTGAAAAATTTGAGAAAGAGCTTATGCAATAAAATTTGGATGTGATAAATTTCATCAATATATATACCTATGGCAAAATTGTATCCTGAACTGCAATTACTACGAAAGTTCATATTAAACGGATTTCCAAATTCAGACGATATACCCAAAAATATTAAGCACTACGTAACTTTCAGAGACGAACTTGCAGTTTACAACGAACGGAATTCAAGGGCGAAAAAATAATCGTTCCAAGATCTCATAAGGTACCTAAAATGTTGAGAAATGTTCATATTCCTATTAACAACAGTAACTCTGGGTTTTGAAAAAACTCAGAAATCAGACATCCTTGGAAGTAATCGGCGATCTCAAAGAATGGTTTGCAGTTCATGGAATTCTTGAAAAACTAGAAACTGATAATGGACCACAATATACTTCTAGAGATTTTTTTTTTCCAAAAAATGGTGTTTTCAGCATGCAACCAGTAGTCCATATCATCCAAAAAGTAATGGTTTATCGGAAAGGAATGTTCAAATTGCGAAAAATCAGTTAAATTACCAAACTAGTAACATAATGTGACAAGTTATTCAAGTACAAACGAGTGGATTGTTGCGGAACTTATGGGTGGACCTCTGCGGGACGAGCGCAGCGAGTTCCGCAGCCATCTATTCACCAATATGTTGTTCAAGTACGATACTAACCTGACTCACTCAAATGTGAGTTATTCTCACTAGTTTAAAAACTACAGGTTTCAGGTGAGTGTCTTATTTTAACAGTTCAACAGAATATTGGTGAGTAGATGACTGCGGAACTCGCTGCGCTCGTCCCGCAGAGGTCCACTCATAAGTTCCGCAACAATCCACTTATTTGTACTTGAACAATGACTTATTATATAAAGTACCTACTTTACCAAACTAGTAACATAATGTAACAAGTTATTCAAGTACAGACGAGTGGATTGTTGCGGAACTTATGGGTGGACCTCTGCGGGACAAGCGTAGCGAGTTCCGTAGCCATCTATTCACACTCGCGTCTACAGACAGGAATATCACATCGGCTTCCTGGCTTCCGCATGGGCACTAACGTATATTTAGAGTGCGTTCGAAATCATTCTGGGCACACACTAGTGCGTTCGAAAACACATGTTTAATGTTGATGATTTGTATTTGTTTTCATAAATGTAATTGAAAAAAAAAATCCTTTTTTTATAAAAAAAAATTCACCACACAACAAATCAATCGACAAACAGCGGCGGCTATTTTCGATAGAACAGAAACCTGGAAATTAATGGAAAAATAGCTAAACCAACTTCAAAAGAGGCAGATGATCAGTTGATCTTTTAAATATCAGTGTTCAATAATAATATTGAAAAATGAAAAATTTACTAATATGAACCGAATTTTCGCAACGAATGTAGTTCATCAATAGTTCATTCGTGACATCATGAGTTTGAACGCTGGCTTGAAGTTGCGTCCATGCTTCCGGCGGATATGACGTCATGAGTTTCTCGCGAAAGCGTTTGAGTTCATGGAATCATGGAAGTAGTTCGTCGCGAAAATTTGGTTATGGTTTTAAATAGGGTTGCCGAGGGTTGCCAAATTTTTGATATGGAAAAGCGGGAGGTTTAAATTTTTGGGTGTGGTGTGCCACGCTCAAATTTTTACGAAACAGTCGTTAAAACGCCTTGTCACCTGTCAGTCAAATATACATTTTGTTAAACAAATTACTTGCCAACTCGTTTTTTCCAATTTTTCTGGAAAAATTAAAAGCACTTATGATATTACCCTCGAAAAATTATCTTCCTTTTAATTACAACCTTATTTTTACTCTAAAGCTATCTAGATCTGCTTGGAGCAAGAAAAGTAGGTTTAAATGATAAGGCTTTGAAATGCATGCGTAATCGATGGTAAATGGCAAGGTTAGATTGCTTGATAACTTTTATGACGTCATCTGGGAAGCTTCAACTAATAATGCCAATAATGGCCTCAACATAATACAAATCTCCATAAGGCACCCTCGATGACGTCAACAAGTTATCCATTACCCACCCATTAGGCAATCCAATCCATCGTCAAAACGAAAAATTAAATATGGCGTGACGGCCAGCAAGTTTGTTTTGAATATTATGTGTTTTCATGCATATGTATTTTTAATTATTTTGCTTGGAGCTTTGATTTCGATTGTTTTCAAAAATACTTCAAATTCAAAACAAAAGAAAGAGAAACATCACATACCTAACCTCAAAACAAAACGAAACTTTTAAATAGACGTGATTGCGCTTGCGGAAGCCAAGAAGCCAATGTGAAATTCCTGTCTATAGACGCGAGTTCTATAAACCAATATGTTATTCAAGTACAATACAGTTGTGAGTTTTTCTCATTAGTTCAAAAACTACATTTAGATGAATGTCTTACTTGAACAGTTCAACAGTATATTGGTGAGTAGATGGCTGCGGAACTCGCTGCGCTCGTCCTGCAGAGGTCCACCCATAAGTTCCGCAATAATCCACTTATTTGTACAGGGTATTTTTTTATATATTAACACTCCACCTACAGCCTTTACCTTTACAGGTAGAAGAAAGGTGTAAATATAAAAGTTGTACAGTTTTGGTTGAAACCAAATATAGACAAACTATATAGTTTTGGAATCGAGAAATTGTGCTCTTCAAGAATATAGAACCAAATATAGGGCATCCCATTTGGAAAAAGCTGAAAGCATGCAACATTTCACATCTTGGACATTCAATTTTTGTTTCTGACCATGGATTTTAAAAATTTAGCCAATACTGTACAACTTTTGTATTTACACCGTTCATTTACCTGTGAAGGTAAAGGCTATAGGTGGAGTGTCAATATATAAAAAAACACCCTGTACAGTGAATTGTATAATCGTTATAATCTCTTTATTATTTTCACCTTCAACTAGAGGTGACCGATTCCCACTTTTAAATCATTATCTTGCCAAAATGATCTTTTTTTAAAATTACTTTATAATGTAGGTATTACAAACACAAACCGATTAAACCGAGCTGGAAAGTGCTTCATTTAGTCCGAGCTACCTTCATATTGAAAAATAACAATATTGTCCAAATATAAAAGTTTAAATTCAAAATTGTATAAAATCATAAATATAGGAAATCATTATAAATGGTTGTAAATAAATATCACCATTAACCACCCGTAGTTCGCAAGGGGTTGGAAGGATGTAACCATTCAAGCTTTGCTAAAACCCAGGGTATCGATAATAAAATATGTAAATAGTTATTCATTTAACAAGTACAGAGAGTGTCTTATCACTTTCAGAGTGGACTTTTAACATTTTAGTTTCAAGCCTTGATTTTAGGATTGAATATTGTTTGTCAAGTAAATCCTGGATAGATGAATAAGTCAAGTTTACTCTAGGGTTATCGAAAGTCAAATCGGTT